GGGCCTATCCTCGTTGATCGATTCTCTTCATCGACTTTCTCTTTGGTTTACCACTAAAGCAAACCCCACACGCATCAATATATTGACGCGAAGGGGAATTATTGACAATAATATTGATGATGTGAATTCAGAAATATTGTCAATCTCGATATATTGACGTCAATATAGAATGTATTGACAATACGATTATTGTCAATAAAAGTAATCGTGTAGGGTCCACTTAAGAGGAAGAGGAGACAACTGGCTTCTTACTCTTTTATCTCTATCTCTATCTCTATCTCTATCTCTATCTTACGCACTTCAAATCGGCCAATCACGAGCTGTTTCGCGTTTGACAGTAAAATGGTTCGTTTTCGCCCCCGTATTGTCTCCTCTTCTCTTAGGTTTACCACGGCTAGATAAACGAATTTCTCGCTAATAGTACGTTCAGACTAGAGAGTTATAAAATGTTATAGCGCTATCTTGATGGTGGTTTCTGTGTTGCAATTATTTGACAACCGTTATAACATGTTATAACTCTCCAGTCTGGACAGCGTTTAAGCTTGCAGCACAATTCAAGCTGAACATTGAAATAGGTCTTAAGTAACATTGAAAGATTCTCTTCGTCGAAATCGATGCAGAGAATCGATCAACAATGATAGGCCCTTTTCTCGTGTTGCGCTAGAAGTCATTGTTTACGTTTTCGACATTGGTCCTTATAAACACTCAGTGTCGGCACGAATATTTTATTTTGACAGATCGATGTCCAACCATGCCAGTTATACCCAACCCCCTGCAATGTGATCCAGTCCATAACTTATTTAAGCTCCAACCATGTAACATTAAATGCGGCAAGATGGTAACAAATGTAATGCCTTCAAAACCATTCTTACTTCCCGCAATGGACAATTAATAAATGATTTAGTTGTTTTCGAATTGACGAGCACAATTTTCGTGAATCATGCTTTCCTATAACGTTATCTAGAAAACTCTATCTGTTTTCCGCAACGTGGTGCGACATGTACCAAGCTTAATCATAGAGGAAAAGGAGGAGTTGTCAAATTAACACCAGAGCCAGTGATGCCACATATACAGATTTATCTGTAATCATACAGATTTTTCTCGATATTTTGATACAGATATCTGTATATAGAGATTAAAGATTTTTTTTAATTTACAGATTTTTCTTATATTTCAAATAAGCAGGATTTATATTTAAATCTGGATTATCTTAATTCATTCTGATACATAATAGTTTCTTCCTTTTGAGCAGCTACGAGCACCAAACCCAAATCGTATTTTCGTTAAATAAGTATTATTTTATTATCTTCGTTAATTCTAATCAGACTTCTGATGTACAGATGTTCTTATTTCCCGTTAGAAGGGATGTGAGTACTTCTTTCTTATTGTTTAATTAATCATATCACAAGGTATCGGGTATGGGAAACAGTCCTATTGTTGCGGTACGTTTGTAGCGTTAGAAGCCTATTGCTGTGTGTGGAGGTCTCAATACACAACAATATGCTCCTAACGCTTCTAACGTATCGCAACAATACACGCAAACCAAAAATCTATTACAATGAATGTTAGTTCCATTTCCTATCATCCTCTGTATATGAACATCGCAGCGAATGTTAGAAGTTGACCTACACCTACACAGTTGACCTAGTGTATACATACACTACCCAGCATAAGTATGGAATTGGTTCAGAAGGTATCGCAACACCCAAGATAAATATTGCAGACAGCAAACCTTACTTGCTATGAAAAACTGTTTTTTTTTTGTAATTATGAAATCATTAGACGTTATAACGATAATAAGTACTTGCAAGTTACAAGAAGAGGTTATAAAGTAGGTGTTTGACACATAAAACCTGTAAATATTGCTTTCAGTTGCAATACCGTAGAGTATTGCCATAACGATGATATGATGACCTTCTGATACTGAAAGCTGTACATGAACCTCGACTTGAACAGACTTTGCATCTATAATTAAATGACTAATTTTTTCAAAGTACTATGAAACCCAATTTAAAAAATTAAGATAGTTCAAAACATTTGTCTTGATTGTTAGATCGTTTAATTCATATCTGTGTCAACTCTTGTTTAAATTCCGAAGTAGAATTTCAATATCTTGATAGAGCTGGAATAAGGGCGTAACAGCTTTTGTAAACAATGACTTCTTTCGATGATTTCTAGAAAGTCAGGTCTCGCCAACGCAAATAAACATTACCACCGAGTAGGGGAAGAGTTCCTCTACCTGATGGTTATGTTGATTTGCGTGGGCATGCCTTGAATTCCTTGAAATTATCGAGACAAGTCATTGTATACAAAAGCTGTTATTCCCTAATTCCAGCTTTATGTAGATATGCGTTAATTTGAAGTAAAAAATTGAATTTTTTTATGTAAACAAACGGCTTGATTGACATTTTCTCTCATCATCCCTTAGCTCTACATTGGTGGTGCATAGAAACAGTCTATTCACAACCACTTTTTCGGTATCGTCGTCAAACCGGGTTTTTTTCATCGTGAAAAAACTTCACAATTTGTCCTCTTGTATACGTTTTTCAGCAATTTTTATTGATGTTTTCATACACTCACGTCAAGCTCTGCCGGAATTATTGGAGAAACGATAACGCATTTGCGCTGCCATCTTTCTCACGGAAGTGAGTGTATAAACAGACAAGCAGTGAACTGTTAATTCTCTCACTCTCTCGTGCTGTGTCTAACAATCTCTCCAGTGGTGACAGGAAAAATCTCCGAGAAGACAAGCAGAGATTCACCCCAGAGAATGATATCTCTCGCACCCAGGTGATTCTCCCCAGAGAATTTTCAACACTGCGAGCCACAACAAGCGAGTTCAATATCCTTTCAAGTTACAAAATGCTTAAATAAAGTTGAAAAATGGTGACTAATTTGAGAAAATTAAACATCGAACATTAAAATTTAACATGCAATACTTCATAACATTTCAATATGGCGTTGCCATACTCATCAAACAAGGCATCCGTTACGATATCCTGCCCCATCCAAAGACGGCCAGTATAGAAGCTATGGTTCACATCCCTCAAGGTAATATTATGTTGTTTGCCGTCTACGTGCCCCGTCAGTGCGAGGACAGCAATGGCACTTACAAGCTCTTCGCTGAACACCTCGCCAAACTTACCAACAATAGGATCAGCTTCGTGGTAACTGGTGAGCTAAATGCTCGCCATACACTGTGGCGCCATACACTATCTGCAATAAACATGGCATAATCTTGGCAGACCACCTCAGCTTTGGAACGTGCATCATCCACTTTCCAGATGAGTCAACGTTCTTGTCACCGGCGGGAGCGACAAGAGCCCTTGACGTGTTCCTATCGGACTTGGATCTATGAATGCACACCAACTCCAGCGCCTGCCAAAAATGATACGGGATTACGATCGAGTCAATTGGGTGGCCTTCAGTGGCGTTTTGGACACCCACCTTACAGCTAATCCAGCTCTACCAACAATTGTAAGTATCTACAACCATCTGGCGGTGTTCGAGGAAGCCATCCAACCCCGAGAATAAGCCATCCACGCCGTAGAAGAAGCCTGTATACGCTGTATTCCGGTGAGGCGACAATTTACTACGATTGACCCCTACACCCGGCAACTAATTCTAACTAAGAAAGCAACAAGTCACCGATCTCAACCGCGTGACAACTATACGAAACGAACTGTGCTCCAATGAAATCGGATAGATGGGCGACCACTCAAGGCCGTTCTGGAAAGTATTGGAAATTCTGAAGCGATACCACAATTGAAGGACGATGGAGGTCTCGCCTCAAGAGAAGATAGAAGCCATCGCCATCAAGCTTGTTCTGGCACATCATATCGGTGCCAGTATGGTCAGCCCACACGAAGATGCGGTACAGAGAACAATAAATCAGCTTGAATAGCAAATCTACGAGTCCCTCCCGCTGGCCGAGTTTCGTCAGTGCTGCCATGAAGCGTGGCAAGAATATGAAGGCACCAGGTAACGATAAAATTTTCAACCTGACCCTGAAGAAGCTGTCCAGCAAAGCCTACGGTTTCTTAGCTGCCATTTTCACGAGATGCTACAGACCCATCACACTGTTGTCGGCGGTGAGCCACATTTTCGAGCTGCTCATCCTTCAGCAACTGATGGAGCACATCAAAGACCACCAAGTCATTATCGCGGAGCAGTTCGGCTTGAGGAAAGGACATTCCACCGTCCATCAGCTGATCCGAGTGGAAAATATTATTAAACGAAACAAATTAATTTCCAAGAACACCACCATGGCGCTTTACTGGACCAGGAGAAAGCCTTCGACAACGTGTGGCACGACGGATTAATCCACAAACTAGTGCATGCGAACTACGTCGAACCTAAGCGAACGACGTTTTCGAGTCCATCTACACGGAACCAACTCTGAACTGAGATTCCAGTGGGACTGCCACAAGGCAACTTGTTGGTGCTAATGTTGTACAGCATTTTCACATTTGACATACCACACCTCCCCAACAGCTGTAGCTTGGCGTTATATGCGGATGACAGTGCAATAATAGCAAATGGACGAATGCCTAAGGATTACCGAGTCCGGTTGCAGCGAGGAGTGATAAATTATGTTTCCTATCTCACCAGCTGGGAAATCAAAGTCAACGAGGCATAAACGCAAACAATTGTCTTCAAGCATCAAAAATCGCCAAAGACGTCCCCACCAACGGGCTGTCACGTCTCTGTGAACGGCTGTCGCATCAACTGGATCAGCAACGTATTTTACCTCGGTGTTACCATCGACGATACCGACGATGTCTACTGTACCGTGAACACAGGGATAAGCTGAAGCAGTGGTGCATTGGTCTCCTGAATGCGCTCTATTCACTGATAATTCGACGATCCCGGATTTCACACCAGAACAAGATGTTGGTGTTCAAAATGATCCTCGCTCCCGTAGTGCCTTTGTGGGGATCATGCCCTGGACCCACAAATGAAAGCTTCAGACAGTCCAAAATCGACTGTTGCTAATCATCATGATTGCTCCGTACAACACGAGGATAGAAGACCTACATCGAGCCACCGGATGTAAGACTGTACACGATCGTATCGAGGGCTCCATGGAATAAACATCTAATTTAACTAACCTACAAATCACAAAAAAGAAATTAAGATCCAGGATTTCGAGATGTTTTAGACAGATTAAATCTTTAAAACGCAAAGTTAAATAATTTTTTATGATTCTAAACTTTCAACAAACACTTACTGAACTTTGAATGAACTCAATGGAGATTTAGGATGATCCGCACTAAGATCGTAATAAAAAAAATTATACAGATTATTTTACCGATTTTTGTCAGCCAGATGAAGATTTAAAAGATTTTTTACGGTGAAAATACAGATTGAAATTGTATCGAGGCTTCACTCGAGTTGTTCCCAGATAACAGGTGTTGCAGTCCTGTGGTTATACCACTAAGGCAACACAAAAAAGGGGTCAACTTTTAGTCAGCTGTTTTGCATGAAGTTCCACATATGTTATGTGCTTAAAACTCTAATGGATAGAAAGTATAAATAGATAAAAAGGAAAGATCTTACCGAAGCAATCAAGTGGACTTGCAACAAGCTGCCTCTTAGTGTTTTCGTATACTGTCCTCAAATAATTCTTCTTCTTGGCGTTATAGTATCAGACGGTCCCCGGGGATCAACATGAACTGGTCCAGACTCTTTTAGAATTTATTTGAAATACCCCTACTTCACGTCTGGCGTTCGTTGATTGACCATTCTTGAAATTCGATTTTAGTGGCGATCCAGAAGCGAGAAATTGGTTCTTGAGCACTGCAACTGCACGTGCTCTCTTTTGAAAACTCGTCCATCTGCCACGGTAGCCAATTTGCAGTAGCTCGGCCAGCAAACTGCAGTTCCCTTGTTCTTGAAGTCGACAACTCCTACTCCAAACGTCGTGCACAATTTGCACAAAACACACTATTAAAAGCACTTTAGTGGAAAACGTTAAGTAAGAGGAGAAAAAGCATGTAGCAAAAATTAAAACGTCTATTTTCAACTGCAGCCTACTGCCCATTTTGGTATCCCATTCCCGTTCTTGTTTCTCACAGTGTTCTTTCAGATAATTGAGACAGTTTTCTTTCGCCAATTCCACATCGATAACCGATAGCATCGCTTTTCAAAAGTATCAAATTGACAACATTTTTCACAATCCAATCTTCCCCGGAACTCACGAGCCCCTTCCCCCGGCCCCTCCTCGCATGGTTGGTATTGATACGCGTTTCATGAAAGCCCAATTTTCTTCCTCGTGGAATCAAAACTTGGGAGAATGGCCCGAAAATCGAAGAAGGAATAATTCAATCGACAATCGACAGCACAATAAGCCCCTTCAGATGCTCCCCCCGAGGAGGGAATTGAATGCGATGAATACACCGGGATCCGATTCCACTCCGACCGTCGCGATCGGAGACCAATCAACCTTGGAGACATAAATTAGCATGAGAATCAGGGAAATCCATTAAGTAGACCAATCATCTGGGCATCTGAGGCGGCTTGCTTGTCGTTCTGTTTCTCCGCTGTGAGGGTGTGGCTGTGGGTGTGTGTGCCAACAACAACAACAACATCGACGAAGAGGAAACAAATATCAGGGAATCGGTCCCTGAAGAGCGTATTGTGCGACGGGCCATATAGATGTCATGATTTGATACTTTGGATTTTGTTGGTCGGAGAATGGTGTGCCGGAAAACGGAAACTTCAATGAAATTTTGTCGAATTGATTGATTCTGTTTTGACTTTTCAGCTCGGATTGATGAACTCTGCGTGTAAATTGTTAACGTTTTTGAGAAAATTGTCATAATTGAACGCAACGTTGCGCGATATGGATCAAGCTCATTTAATCTTGCCGGAGCTGTCAAAGCGGCATCAGCAGGGTAGCAGTCCTGTGGTTCGATTGTGCTTTCCTCTTCCGTTCTATTCTGCACACACAGCGAACTTGTTGATTGAATGTGACTTTGCTGATGCTCCAGGAATTACTCCTACAAATCAAACAGTCGTCCACTGATCCCACGCAATTATACTTCCATTTGTAAGCCACATCTGTCAATTCGATCGATTGTCAACTGTCACTCACCGCCCCTCCCGTCTGTAATTGGATCCCATTCGAAGAATGGTTCCATTATCGCCTCGCTCCCCGGATGTCCTCACGGTTCAATAGACCCTGCTCGAAGCGTAACGTAAGAATAATTTGCATAAATTCCATTATACACTCACCTTTTTTTCCATGCCCCCTGTTGTCGCCTCTCAAAATGAAGCAAACTGTGTATTGGGTTGGGTTGGGTTGGGATGGATGTTCCATTTTCACCTGTACCGTGATTGGGGACATCCACCCAAACTAAAAAAAAAAATGTAAATGTCTCGTTACGCAAAGCATCTCATTCGTTTCATCACCTTTTATTTCCTGGCAGGTGGCCTCTTCCATCCGGACGACGACCATCAGGAGATTGCGTTCCGCTATGCGGTCGAGAAAATCAACTCGGATCGGACGATCCTACCGCGGTCCAAACTGCTGGCGCAGATCGAACGAATATCGCCCCAGGACAGCTTCCTGGCGTCGAAGCGAGGTGAGAACAGCGCTACGAAATCCAATTATTATCCACACACACAGATCAGCAGCACGGTTTAATTGGTGACTGGTTTTTTCATGTTTCTGTTCTACAGTGTGCCATCTGTTGCGAGTTGGAGTGGCGGCCATCTTTGGGCCACAATCGTCGCACACCGCCAGTCACGTCCAGAGCATCTGCGATACGATGGAGGTAAATTTCGAGATACAGTAATGGCCTGATTTTGTCAGCATCCTTTATGAAAATCAATTTTCAGATACACTGCATATACAGATTACAGATTTTTGAAAAATATACAGATTTTTCAAATAAGGAGAATATAATTTATTTAATTTTTTATATTTATTTATTCTGATACATAATCGTTTATTCCTTTCGAGCAGCTTGAATTCAATATATGAGCATCAAAACCAAAACGTATTTTTCACTAAATAAAATATGATTGTATATTATCTTTGAATGGGCTTGGAATCTTTTTAATGGGCTTCTGATAGTCATGTGTTCTTTTTGCTTTGGAAGGGATATTAGTTTCGTCGGTACCGAATGTTGTTGACAACGGAAAGTGTTTGGCGCACTTTTACCATTACAAGGTAGTGGTCCGAATCGATGTTTGCGCCGCGATAGGTCCTGACGTCGATGATATCCGAGAAGTGTCTTCCATCAATCCAAACGTGGTCGATTTGTGATCCTGTCTGTAGTGGTGATCTCGAGGTGTACCGATAAGGAAGGCTGTGCTGGAAATAAATACTACGTATGGCCATATTCTTGGAGGCGGCGAAATCTATGAGTCTGAGGCCGTTGTCGTTTGTAAACCGGTGAGCGGTAAACTTTCCGATAATCGGTCCAAATTCCTCCTCCTGGTCAACCTGAGCGTTAAGATCTCCGATAACGATTTTGACGCCATGGTTAGGGTAGCTTTCGTATACTCGTTCCAGCGGCGCGTAAAAAGCGGCTTTATGATCATCGTCACTTCCTAGGTGTACGCTATGCACGTTTATTAAGCTAACATTGAAGAAACGGCCTTTGATCCTCAACTTGCACATTCTGTTGTCGATTGGTCACCACCCAATCACGCACTTTTGCATTTCATCCATCACGATAAAAGCTGTACCCAGCTCATGTGTGTTGCCGCAGCTCTGCACATTTAGATTTTTTTGCCGAGATGGACACCACCGAGCAGCTCGGCAATCTATTTTGCTGGATCTCAGTGAAAAGTTTGCCAAGATTCAGTTAACAAACGGGAATTTTTGCCGAGATCTCGGTTAAGAAACATAAATTGTACTGAGATCTCAGTAAAAATAAATGCCGAGTCTGCTCGGTGGTGCCAATCTCGCCAAAAAATCTATGTGTGCGGAAGGTGGTATTACCATCCCTATAAGTATGTACCGACGATCCCTTCCAGCAAACCTCCTGCAGCGCTACAATGTCGAATTTGCGGACCTTCAATAAGTCTAAAAGAATGCGGGTACTTTCCAAGAAATTCAAAGACTTACAGTTCCATGTTCCGAGTTTCCAATCGCTAGTCCGTATTCGTTGCCTGGGTCTATGTTGATTTTTCCGGTCCGTATTTACATTGTTAGCTTCCTGTACTTTTCGAGTTTTACGGTTGGCTTGTAGGGCCTGCACCAACCACCTGTCTCGCCGGAGACCCATCGTGCACAGCTCTATTTAGAGTTCCAAGCTGGCACTAGGGCGGTGATCAGTCGCTCCTAACATGGAGAACAGACGCCGTTTTGAGCCGCTCCTAACATGGAGAACAGACGCTCGGTTAGGCTACACCCTCAGGAGGGAGAAGCCCCTTCCTACCTTCCTTGTCACCATACGACCAAGGTCCCATCGGGGTTGGTTACTCGATCTTTCCTATGGTTACTCGTACCCCAGTCGGCACCGCGGGAAGGTAGGGATAGGAGTTACTGGACAATAGGCTAAGGAGCACATTACTTACTTACTTAAGGGTCATGTGCACCACCAGCGGTGCAAAGGGCCAACGTGAAAGACTTCCATCCTGGGCGGCTGCTCGCTTTTGCCTTGACCTGGGCCCAGGTCAGATTCCTATCGACTTGCTTAATTTCCTTGTTGAGGCTCCGCCGCCATGAGCCCCTGGGTCTGCCTCTGCTGCGATGTTCTGCCGGATTCCAATCCAGCGCTTGCTTGCAGATTTCGTTTCCGCCCCGTCGAAGTATGTGGCCAACCCCACCTCCACTTTCGCTCTCGAATTTCTGTTGCTATCGGCTTCTGATGACAACGACGATGGAGCTCGGCATTCGAGATCCAGTTGTGAGGCCACCAGGCACGAATTATATACCGCAGGCATCGGTTGATAAATACCTGCAGTGTTCTCCGCTGATACACACCACGTATCGCTGGCGTATAACAACACAGATTTCACGTTCGAGTTGAAAATTCGGATTTTGGTGCGTTGACTTATCTGGTTGGATCTCCATACGTTTCGTAAACTCGCAAAGGCAGCCCTAGCCTTCTTGATTCGTGCACCTATGTCGCTCTTGGTCCCACCGTCCGACTCTATTTGGCTGCCAAGATATTGGAAACTTTCGACCTTCTCCGTTGATGGTGAGACCCGCCGCAGAGGAGCGTTCGGCTAGGGCATTTAGCTTACTCCGCATATCAGAGCGCCGTTGTGCTAGTAGAGCAACATCATCAGCCAAATCGAAGTCGTTGAGATGCTCCATGGTGATAGGCTGCCAAAGCAGCCCACGGTTCGGTACACGGTCAATTGTACCTACCATGATCTCGTCGATTACGATGAGAAACAGTAGCGGTGATAGTATACATCCTTGTCTCACACCAGCGACTACCCGTATAGGGTCGGACAAGGCTCCGTTATGCAGAACTCTGCACGTGAAAGCCTCATACTGCGCTTCGATGAGGTTGACGATTTTATCCGGGACTCCCTTGCGTCTCAGGGCGCCCCACAGATTCTCGTGATTGAGACGGTCGAAAGCTTTTTCGTAGTCAATGAATACCAAATAAAGGGACTCTTGGAATTCATTGACCTGCTCCAGGATGATGCGGAGCGTGACAATATGGTCCACACAAGATCTTCCGGCACGGAATCCTGCCTGCTGCCGTCGGAGAGTCGCGTCGATCTTCTCCTGTATCCGATTCAGGATAACTTTGCACAGAACTTTGATGCCTCGCCAATTGTCGCACACAGTCAGATTCCCCTTCTTTGGGACGTTCACTAAGATGCCCTGCCTCCAGTCTGCCGGAAAAGTCGCGGATAGCATGGGGTCAGCTTTGAGTATCTCTGCTGATATGCGATCGACCCCTGGAGCCTTGTTGGATTTCATGCTTCGGATAGCTGTTTCAATCTCCTGCAGTGATGGGGCCTTGGAATTGACGCGAGTGATGCGCCGCACCCTAGGCGGATCATGCCGAGATGTTGATGGCTGGTTTGCCGTCGAAACTTGAAGAAGTTGTTCGAAGTGCTCAAACCAGCGTTTCAGCTGGTCAGTGGGGTCGGTAAGCAATTGTCCAGTCGTGACCTTCACGGGCATCCTCGGGTTCATCCTTGCTCCACTCAGGCGTCGTGAGATATCGTAGAGGAGGCGTATATCGCCAGTGTTTGCGGCTTTCTCCCCTTCGTCGGCCAGGGAGTTCACCCACGCTCGCTTGTCCCGTCTGCAAGAGCGCTTGACTTTTTCTCTAGAGCCGAGTACCGTTGACGGGCTTCGTTCTTGGCTCCTCTGGTTCTCGCCCGCTCTATCGCGGCTTTTGCTTCTCTACGCTCCTCAATCTTCTGCCAGGTTTCATCTGTGATCCACTCTTTCCTCTGGGTGCGCAGCTCACCCAAGTTGTTGTCGTTTGTTTCTATAAAGGCATTCTTGATAGCCGTCCATTGTTCTTCTACGCTGCCACCTTCTGGAACGTCCGCAGCTTGAGTCTCAAGTTCTTCAACAAAAGACCTTTTTACCGCTGGATCTTCAAGTCGGCGTGTGTTGAACCGCCGCCCGAGTCTCTCGTCCCGTCCCGCCATGCGTAGGCGGATTTCACCGATTAGAAGGTGATGGTCAGGCGCGATGTCGGCGCTGCGTTTATTCCGGACAGCAAGAAGGCTCCGTCTCCATTTTCGGCTGATGCAAATGTGGTCGATCTGATTTTCGGTATGTCCATCACGGGAAACTCACGTGACTTTATGCACTGGCCGATGGGGGAAGAGCGAGCCCCCGATCACCATGTCGTTATTGCCACAAAATTCTGCAAACAGCTCACCGTTCTCGCTCATTTCGCCGAGACCATGGCGTCCCATGACACGCTCATAGTCCGTGTTGTCGGAGCCGATCTTTGCATTGAAGTCGCCAGTGTAGATCTTGATGTCACCCTTTGGAACCTTATCCACGACGGCATTCAGTTTACTGTAAAAATTATCCTTGTCCTGTAGCTCAGCAGCATCGGTTGGCGCACAACATTGGATAATGGTAAGGTTACGAACCCGTGTTCTAAATCTGGCAACGATGATCCTCTAATTAACAGGCTCCCACTTGATTGCGTAGCACTTGCCTGGACGCTAAGTAGGAGACCAACTCCACGATGGCGTTGGAGGCGAACCAGCCTAAGGCTGAAAGCCTCCTAAATAAAGCTAAATTAATTAATTAATCCACGATGGCGGGGAGCGTTTTCACCTCGAATACCAGAGTATAGTAGTACCTGTCCCGACGGTAGTTTATGTTCTCCAAAGTTTGGTCAACAAACTTCACTCAGTCCCAGGATTCCTAGTTTCATGCGTCACACCTTGTTGGCGAGTTGTGCCAGTTTACCCTGCTGGGCTAACGTCAATACATTCCATGATCCAATTCGTGTCCGTTGTTTTGCGCTAAAAGTCGTTGCCGTTAAATCAGTTCGATGTCTTCTCTATTGGTTTCTGTAACAATTGTAAAGGTTTCAGATACAGTAGGTGGTTGGCCTAAGGTCTCCTATCCGCCGTGAAGGGGTTGCTATCTTAGGTGTAGCTTCCGGGGAAGAGCAGTCAGACGCTGTTTGAGCCGCACCTCCATGGTAAACAGACGCTCGGGTTGGCGAAGCATTTCCTCTATCACCGTGCTATGGTTACCGCGCCAGTGTTCTCGTCACACCTCCTCACTCTGCTATTGTCGGATTGACAACATTGCCCAGGCTACGCCAACCAGCTGTGTCCATGTTTCAGCTGGCAGTCTTTTGTGATCATATGACTC